TAAATAGCTTTCCCTTGACAACGTGGCTAGTTAATGGTAAACCAGGGACTACAGCCCAGTCCCCCCAACTCATAAGCTGGGTGCTCTTTCCACTAACTCTCCCAACTCTAGTCCTGATGTCAACTCTTCCTACTTAGTTTATCTTGTCCTATTTTCTTAACTTGACATTCCAGGTCCTGCATGTCAGCCGACTTACCCTACCTTTCTGCCATTGCCACTTTCACTTCAGCCATGTCAACCTCATCGTTTTGCCATCGTGGTTTGTTGATTCTTCCCTTAACAGCAGGCTCACTGCCCTTCCAAACATTTTTCCTTTTATGACTTGTTCTCACATCACTCCAAGAGATTCATAGTACATAATTTTGCATGATTTAACTCATTATTTTAGTAGTAAAGAGATAGTAGGCCTTTGGCACTTGTTATAAAATTTTTATGAAAGTTCTCATACCCTTCACTAATTTTTCTCATATAACCTAAAATTAAATGTTAATTGTGTTATACTTTCATATCGCCCATTGTTGTTTTATTACAGAACAGACACACAGGGCCCCATACTCCAGAGGATGGTATACTAATATCGGCCGGACCACCTACTGGGCTCCATTGTCCGCTGCCAATCAGAAAGATGTCTCTCAATGCCAGAGATTTGTGAAAAGAAAAAGAAACATTTATTTAATGCTATGCAGACTTAAAGTAGTGACCTAACATCTTCATTAAAATATCAAATTCCTTTATGATACCCACAGACCCACACAGTGCTCCCTTCTCCCCCTGCCCTAATTCAGGGCACCATAACTCAGAAAAAGACCATACATCCATGTTCCCAGGCCGCTGGCACCATCAGCTGTGTCACCATCCAGGCAGGATCTCTGATTAATCCAAAGCCATGTGGCACCTTCTCGTGGTCTACTGGCATGAGTTCTTTATACCCATTTTTCCAGGCAAAGTCTCTCCTGCTTCTCAGGCCACGTGGCCAAAGGGAGCACCCCAAAGCTGCATGGGCCTCTTCTACCAAAGCTGCAGGGGTCTGCACTCTGGCCAAACCATGTGGATCTCTTTTCTTCCACCAGACCCAAGAGGGGGTCCTCACTCTGGCAAAGCCATGTGGCATTGTCTTTCAATGGCTGCCCTGTCTGGATTTAAATCCCCATGCCAATCTTCCTCTGTAACCCCATTTCCAACTCCTCCCATAATCAGTTACACCTGCCAGCATTTCTGTATTATTCCAAGTTTACTGGGCTGCCATCATGAGTCTGGGCAGGTATGGCCCACATGTCCTGGAGCCAATCTTCTCCAAGCTCCCACACAGGTACTGTAACTTGGGGGACCTGCCCCCCCAGTTACATTTTGAGGGGAGTCTCTTTCCATCCCCCTGGCTCAGAGCATGGCCACAGCCATTTAACATATCTAAGCAACCCACCAAAGGCTATAGATATGTTAAATGATCATGCCATGGATTAGCTGTAAGGCTGTGGTTACACAAAACAGCCCTGCATGTTCCTGCTCCATGTGTCCCTTCCCCAAACTCACACCTATGGGGGAAGGAGTGAGGAGGACATCTTATATGTCTCTCCAATATTTTCTAGACACCTTGAGTGCTGAACCCCATTCCAAATCCCTTTTTGGGACCCTCTCTTAGCTGCACCCTCTATCAGTTTTACATTATTACTTAAACTTTTCAAGTAATTTCTTATGTTTATTGATGGTAGGTAAGGATTGTTTTAAATGTCTGTATACAGATATATTTGCTAGATATTCAAGAGACAAGGTCAAGCAGTAATTCATTTCAATATTTTAAAATATGGTTGATTCCACAAACTAGAATGTGAACTTCTCAAGAATAGTCTTTTCAATTTTAAAAACTCCAATAGTGCCTAATGTAAGGAGGAGTATTTAGATAAGTGTTTGGGTCTCTTAAATTCTTCTGCGTTCTAAGCTCACTATTTTAACATCAAGCATTAATGAAATATATATATATATATATATCACCTATGTCCTCTCATTCCTCTCGTGATACATTTGTTATATGCTATTGCTATTCTGTAGGAACAATGTAAGAACTCAAGTGTTAGGCCCTGGACTATGTGTTATATGCATTATAACTTAGTAATCACTGAGCTAAGTACTATTTTTATCTTAAAGATTAAAAAGATACCCCAAAACTTAGACGAGGTTAAAAAAAACAGCTCCAAATAACACAGCTAGGTCATGGCAGAGCTAGAATTGAATCCAGGTCTAATTGCAGAATTCACACTCTTAACTGCCGTGAGGTGCAGCCTGGAGCAAGTCCCCTACATCTGTTTAGTGGAGTAAATAGGAGGCTACGGTAAGGGTTAAATGAGCTAATTCAAGTTCTTAGCAGGATACCTGACAATCCCTAACCATCTGCCCTCATATCAAGACACTATGACAGGGTTGAAAGGTCAAATAAGACCAGCTCCCTATCCTTGAAAAATTTGTCTAACTTTTGGTAGGCAGAATTATACAATAGTACCCCAAGATTTCCTGCCATTGGTATCATGCCCATGGTTATCTTATATGTAAAAGTTTACCCAGATGTAATTAAGGTTACTAATCAGTGGACTCTAAATTAACCAAAAGGGAAATTATCCTGGTGGGCTGTGCCTAAGAACAGGGGCCCTCAAACAGCGCTTTTCTGCAGCTAGCAGTGAGTGCAAGTCAGACAGGATGGAATCGGATTCCAATTCTGCACGAAGAGGATGTGATGTGTCAGATTTAATGAGCTGTTTCCAGCTTTGAAGATGCAAGGGCTGGAGAGTGGGCTTTAGGAGAGGAGACCCCTGGCCAATACACAAGCATGAGGAACCAAATTCTGATGGCAACCTGTAAGCCTTGAAGTGGATTTTTCCCGGTCTCCAGATTAGAGCTCGGCCTGGCTGACATTTTGATGTCAGCCCTGTGAGATCCTAAATCAGAGAACCCATCAGAACCCATCTGGACTTGTGATATAGAGAAATGTAAGATAATGAATTGATGTTAAGTTTATAGTAATTTGTTATGCAAGGGACAGCTTTACAAAACTATTGCATGGGGTAATACAAACACATGGACAAGGGCCTAAGCCATCCATAGAGGTGGAGAGACATAAAGCACAAGGAAGGACCGTACTTCCACCTGGGTGGAGAGGCTAAGGAGGGTACGAAGCCTTGGCAAATTCAGAGGCGCTACTATTTTGAAGAATGAATAAAACTTGCTGACTGTGGGCGGGGGGACCTTATATGAAGGAGGAGGAGGAAATATGTGTTAGGCAGGGAGTTCAGTAAGAAAATGATGAACGATCAGAAACTGTAAATACCGTTGAAGCAATGTCCAATGGACGAGCGGCGAGGGCGAAGCGCCAGGCGGGGTGGGCAGGTTGGAGCTGGGCTGCAATGCTTTTGGGAGACAGAAAGGTGTGGTCTCGTTCTGCCAGCACTGGCAGCACATTTACAGAAAAACCTTTTAAAACTAATTGAAAATATTTAAAGACAGAGTACATGTATGTATATACTTGTAGTTTTATATTTATATATACAATAGATGTTTCAATATTTGAGGTAAGTAGATGAATAACTCTTTTTAATAGTATTTCACCCCTTTAATATAAATCTGCTACAACTAATTACGTTAAAATGTTTATTCTGAAGGCTATAAAAAAAGGAAATCTTACCTTTTGCAACAGTATTGTAAGATCTGGAGAGTATTACGTGAAGTGAAATAAGCCAGTCAGAAAAAGACAAATTCCATAGGATTTTGCCTATATGTGGAATCTAATGAACGAAATAGAAACGGACTCATAGATACAGAGAACAGCCTGGCAGCTGGCAGAGGGGAGGGGAGGTTGGGGGCCAGGTGAGAAAGGCGAAGGGGTTAAGAAAAAAACCCAGACACAAAAACACGGTGATCACCACAGGGAGAGGAGGCCGGTAGAACAAAGCGGGATAAACGGTGGCAGAAGGAATCTTGACTCGGAATGGTGAACACAAATACAGTATATAAATAATGTATGACAGAATTGTACGCTTGAAACCTATGTAATTTTATTAACCAGTGTCACCCCAATAAATTCAATGAAAGTTTTTAAAAAGAGATTATGATCTTTCTCAAAGCAAATTGATGCAATTTAAAACATGATTTTCAGCAACATTTGGAATGTTTTTGCCTAGCTTTCTAATGACCAAACATCCCAGATTGGTATTTTTCTCATATTAATATAAATATAAAATGTAGGTTAATATTTCTATAATCGTTTAATTTGTTCATTGAACCTGAATGTACTTTGTTTATCTGAGCACACTGATTAGCAGGCTTCTCTTCTTAGGGAAAGAGAAGTTTTTTTCTAAAAAGAAATGTTAATATTTATTTTTGGTCACATTACAGGTTTAGAAATAAAACGCTCAAGTAATATAATTGAGCCAATTGTTCATTTCTCCTCCCCTTCCCTGAGGTTCTCCATGGGAACAGATTACGTGCTCAGGGAGGTGCATTGAAATAGGGAGTCTCCGTGTGGCTGAGAGCACCTGAGTATCCTGGGTCCCCAATTTTTCATCAGAGTGACTTATGCTCTGGGACATTTCCCATCACTAAAGACTAAGGTTACATCAACGGATTTTTTTAAAGAGCATATTGTAAGAAGGATTATATGCAAACAGTTTAATAAATGTTAGCTATCCCAAAGATATTAAATATTGGTCTTACAATAATTAGCACCAGCTACTGGGTATATCTTTGTTTGAATAAACCAGCTTCAATATACTGTTCACTTTTATCAGTCTAACCCAGAGAGGAAAAAAGCTAGAAAATGTCTTCATGAATCAGAAATGTGTGTAAGTCTTAATCACATGACCTTGGCTTCCTTACCAACGTTTGGTACTTTAAAAATTATATAATCTGTGATATAATACTTTTTAACTCAGAAGCTTGACTCACATTTAATTAAAAATTAAAAAATACAAACAATTTCCATTATACAAGCACATCACAGAAAATAACACACCATATTTTCAAAAGAAATCTCGTCTTTTAAAAACTCAAAGGTAACATCTTTTCTAGTAACTAAGAATATACATGATCTGTCATAAACTGTTTTCATATAACTATTATTAGCAATGAAGTAGTAACACATAAACAAGTAAACATTTGAAAGTTGTACTATCTTTGGAATCTAAGTACAACAAGTCAACTCTATCTGCATTATAGTTCCAGACAAATAGACACTGGGAACAACTACTAGGATACAAATGGTCATCAGTTAAAGTTTAATTACTGTTCAATAATTCACTCTTTAAAAAGGAACAGGTTTTAATAAGTTCTGGCCCACGGGAGCGGACATTCTCCTTGCCAAAGCCCTTCTCCACGCTGCTGCGCTCCACCCCCATCTGGGAAGGTTCTCCGCGTTCACGCTAACACAGGTGATTACATTCAAGTGGCATTCAGCAGAAATTCTACCAAACTGCTCTATAATTTCATTTTGCACTGAATTAATTAACTTCTTGGTAGGTGGCTCAGATGCTGAACCTAAGCCTAAAGAAATATTTTACTCTTTAACCTATCGTACATGAATTGTCTCTAAATAAGGTAGCTTCCATTTTTAGTAAATAGTACCAGGTTAAGCACATTTTGTAGGGTCTGAAAGGGTAAAGATGTAACATTCATAATGAGTAGATTTAGGTTTTGACAGACAGGCACATCCATTTAAAAAAAGTTGGGGCACTGAAGACAGTTGAGAAGGATTTAATAAAACTCACCAAGAGTTGGCAGGCATGATATTTTGAAAGACTATTTACCTTAGAAGGTGTTTATAACAAAATGGCTTCTTTGTCCTTTGTTTAAAAGTTACCACTTTGTAGCAATTAAACATAATATCTTAATGCTGTTGTAATTTATATCCCAGAGCTTGAAATGTAAATTTTCTAAACTATTTTTTCAGATCATTAGAATTATATTCTGAAACATATATTCTATTATGTTTCTCCAATTATATTACCAAGATATGACAGCTAACTCTTTGTTTCAAGTTTATAGCCTTCATATACCAAGAAAAAAATGAGAAGACAAACAAGGAATGTGAAAAGCCATCTCATAAAAAGCTGAAATGTCTTTCATTACATAGCATATTTTTCTCTGTAATAAACTTCTGGTTTAGGAAATGAGAAAACAAATACTTCTTTTGACGAACTTTTTTTTTTTAAGCAAACTTCTTCTCTTTTTTTTTATATTTTATTTCTTTATCTTTAGAGGGGAAGGGGGGAAGGAGAGAGGAGGAGAGAAACATCAATGTGTGGTTGCCTTTCGTGCATCCCCTGCTGGGAAGTGGCCTGCAGGGAACTGGCCTGCAACCCAGGCATGTGCCCTGACTGGGAATCGAACTGCGATTGTGTGGTTTGCAGGCCTGTGCTCAATCCACTGAGCTACACCAGCCAGGGCAATGAACTATTTTTAGTTTTTCAGATTTTTTGAAACTGAAAGGAAGGGAGGGAAGGAAAGAAAAAGGGAAAGAGGGAGGTGGGAGAGCCAACTTCAACTTAGACCTTTTGGGGAGAACTGCACTGACATTTAATGAGCACAATTCCAGAGGAAGTGCAGCTGAAGACTTCAGACCAATTTCAAAAGCTTTGTAACATACAGTGAAATGGGCCCCTGGAAACGGCCTGAATAATGTGGGCGGGGGAGGTAGTCCTTGGTCAGGTTTCACCTAAAGGGAGTCTAGGAGCTTGGGCCTCAGACTTGTTTCAAAGCGTCCCACTGAGGGAACAACTGCTAGGTAATCTCTCTATGAATAAATTCTCTTTCCTGTACAACTTAAACCCTTCTTGATATAATATGCATAAGGAGAAATGACAAGAATATAATTTGGAAGTTTTAACACTGGTTTGTTATAAGGCAGGCTTCAGCTTAAAAAAATGCTTACATACCAGTTTCAGAAACAATTTTGCCTACAGCACCTTCTAACTCAATAATTCTGCAGCAATGACAGTCAAGAATGCTGTCAAAAACAGCACTGAGGTTTAAAGAATAACAATTCAAATAATTATATCCTTTAGATTTGTAATATGCCATTTACTAAATTGGCAATCACAACAGAAACTTACAAGAGCCTTCTAGTTAGAAAAAACAAATTAATCCTACCTTCTTAGGTTTTTATGCGTGTGATTGTCTCTAAATTCTATCAGGCAAGTATATAGGGTTTCCTTCTCATCAAATACTATGTCTGTCCTGATGTCGCCAGTCACAAGAGACCTTTTGTATCACTGCTCCCTGGAGTCCTAATTCTAACCAGAGTCCTGAGCAAACACAAAAGTAACCTGGCAGTTACATCATTCTATATAAATGAAGAAAGACTTTGCTACCTAAAAATAACCAAAGGCTCCATTTAAATTAATGTTATTTTTGTCAAGTGTTCATTTTACTTTGTAATAATGTAGTTCTGATCCAAATAGAGTTCTTACAGGCTCTAAAAAGATCTCTAGAGATTATATGCAGGGCAGTAATTTAATTCTTATTTCTTGCAATGATATTTAAGGTTCACTGTGATTTGGGATTTTTAGGGCTGTTGCTGACACCTTATGGAAACTGTTTTATTTAGAAATTCTGATTAGATTCTGTTCAGCTCTTGTTTACAAAAAGTATTATTATAAAAAAATAAATGTTCTTGTTCTTGTGAGGTATTCAATCTCTTGCTTATTTGATTTCATAATTCTGTTTCGGTCACTATGATTAATTGCTATGGAAATTACCTCCTATGGAAATAATTCTGATGTCATTATTGTAAGAATATGATTTTTAATGAATCATATCAATTGTAGACATCAATCCTTGCTAGAAAAAGAAAGTCTAATTAAAATTCTTAAAAGGGGGATTAATTCTGAAAGTTATTATCATGGGCCACTTTTCTGATATTTTTGAATTGACCACCTGCTTTTAAAATAAGTATTAAATAAATTTTAAAGTGTTAATCAGCTACTCACTTCCCTAAATTCCAATGTAACAATGGAAATCAGTACTATGCATAGAAAAATGAAAGAACATTTCATCTACCTTTTCTCTAAACTAATAAGTGTATGCTTCACTTATGAGAGTTAATGTCTACAGGATTTCAGGGCTCATCAAAGAGACAACTCTGAATAGCACATTACAAATTCCCTTTAAAGATGAAGAATTTAATATCCCAAATTTATCCCAGGAATTTAAAAGGTCAGTGAGTTAACTAAGTGGGTTAAACAATAGATGAGAGCCAGTGAATCATTAGATGAGAATTCCAGAATGCTGAGAGGAAATTTTCTTGGGTGAATTCTATAATTTGTGGTTTGAACAAAACTTTGAAAAATTCCATTAGTGTTAAAATTCTCAAAATGAGAATATGGCTCATATTTAACACATTTTAAATTACTAGACAGTCTCTCCCCAAAGAAAGTTTAATGCTTTCTTCTGCCTAGTTCTTGTTCACTGCCTGGTACTAATTTAGGAATAAATTAACCCTTCCAACAATTAGGGTATTGTCTAGAGAGTGCCTCTTGCACTCTGCTGGGGAAATCACTCATATTATGAAAATCAGAAGTAAATGAGAAATTCATTTCTTCATTATAAAACACATTTATACCTTATAACTTATTAATTATTGATTTAAATCACTATCTTATTTACCTACATAATTCCATATTACTACATCTACAGTGCTTCTGAATCAAGCCTCACAGTTACAGATTTTGTTAATGTCTTAGAGAGTTAAGGGGTTTCTGTATTTATGCCTGCAACCATGATCGAGGGTCCAAAATGTCCTTGATCGATTTCTGCCTTGGAGCAGGCATTGGCTTGGCTTCAGAAGCAGTTTTGGTGTCCGAGTGTTCACCATTGGTTAAACTGCTTTTCCTGGCAGGAGGCAGTTTTCGAGGAGCAGCCACTGGTTTCTGTGAGTGATGCATTAGGGTTGATAGTTTGGTATCCAAAGAGGAGGTCTGAGATGAATCTGTATTTTCCCAGTTGTCCTTCACCGATTGATCTGTGCTGCTCTGTGTCTTTAAGCTGAATGGAGCTTTATCAGAAGGGGGAAGGGGAGCTTGTCTCTTTTTCCTTTTCCCATCGGGTACCTGCTTGCTTGCAGAAGACAGTATCTTCTTCTGGATGACCACTTCATGGTCACCATCAAAGAGTGTGGCCCAAGGAGGTGGTGAGTATTCTTCCTGCGGACCAATAAGGAACTGCCCATTTGTCTCTTCAATTTTTTTTTGTATTATGTCAGTTAAACTTTCAAGTTTTATAGGTGAATCAATGCCTGTAATAATTTTAAGAAAAAGATACATGGGACAAAAATCGAAACAGTATACACTCTACCTGAGTTACTATTTTCCAAACCAATATGCTATCTATAATAGTCATCACAAACACACTAGGATAGCAAGCGGTTTTTAAAAAGTATTTACTTGAGAAAACAACCACACTCGGAGAACCAAAAAATAAGATCACATACTATGCACTGCACACACTCACATATATACGTATATGAATAAATGTGTGTGTTCCTAAATAAATGAGTAAAGTCTACCTTACAAAAAAACAGTAACATCAGAATTTTTTCAATTACTTTCCTGGATTTAAAATCTATTCTGACTTCTAAGTAAGAGAGGAGTCCATTTTTATAAAAGCCTAGTATATAAACTGCAATGAACACAATGGATTTTCTCTTATAGATCAGCCAAAGTTCTCTAATAGGGTAAAAATGCAAAACCAAAAATCCAGAGGAATAGAGTGAAACCCTGATACCATTTCTGTGATAATTCTGGGTGAAATTTTCATTGGTAAAAATAAAAGAACAGAGATAAATGTCTATTAAATGAATCACTGGTATTCTCTAATGTGTAAACCCAAATGTATCCTTTTAAATCTAACACTTTAAAGTACATGTGAGTGCAGGGCCACTGGGGGCAAAACAGGCTAGAGTTTAGTCTTGACTTGTGCTTGCCCACAACATGGCTCACGGAGGCGATCTTGCAAAGACAAATAAATGCCCAGCAAATGCCCTTCAAAGAGTAAGAAAATGAAGTATTAATGAGTCTAATTTTTTTAATTTTCCAAAGTATTACATATCACCAATTTTTTGACCTGGCAGGTGTGGCTCATTTGGTTGGGTGTTGTCCCGTAAATCAAAAGGTCACTGGTTCGATTCCCAGTCCAGACACAGGCCTGGGTTGCAGGCCTGGTCCCCAGTCCATGTGCATGCAAAGGCAACGGATAGATGTTTCTCTCTCACATGGACGTTTCCCTCTCTTTCTCCCTCCCTTCCCCAATCTCTAAAAATAAATAAATAAAATCTTAAGGAAAAACATTACCATCTTTTTTGGCCTGAGATAAAAGCTTCCATTTATTAATATTCATTTATCAGCACTACTTTGAAACAAATTTAATAAAATACAAAAATTACTGAACATGGTAATATTTTATAATCTGTAACTTTACATTTTCAGAATTTTCATCAGCTATTCAGCTAATATTTATTTTAGTGCACCCTTATTCATTTTGAAACCTTAACATTTTTGTTAGATCTCAGGCATTCAAACTACAAAAATGCGTATTCATTAATTTTGCATTAATTCATCTATTAAACATGAGTTCCTTAGTCTATAATCACAGCCTTTTTTAATTCATTTTCACTGTGCCCCAAAAATGTTAGCATTTTAATGTCAATGAATAAGCTGCTTGATTATGGACAATGTTGTTTTTGTTACCCTGCAGCTTAGAAAAGACAAACCCCACTTACTCATATCATGGTACACTGAGGTCGCGTCTTTTGTCAGGAACAAAGGTGGTTTCCGTGGTGACATAATCTCAATTTTCATAAGTTCTTCACAACAATGCTTCCATTGGCCTAAGAAAGAAAGAAAAAGGCAGGCTAGTTTAAAACATAAATGTGAAGGAGTATATTTCAGTTTCAGTAGATATCAACACACATTTTTGCTTTACAAAATAAAAGCGAATTTATAAAGCATTACCTTAAAAAAGCCATAAAAATATAGTACTACCCATCATTTTAAGTCCAGGTTGAGGCATAAAAATAATCTACTTTAAAAATAAAGTTCTATGCACAGATCTTGAGCTAAGATCTCTAAGCTATTAAATACTGTACTATTTCACTAAGTGGTCAATAATTAAAATTTCTATTAATGACAAAAGTTTACACAAGTTTTCTTCTCTTAAATAGTAAATAAAAATGTCCAGTATTTAAGACAGTTGAAAGGTAAAACATCAAATGGAATATAGTTACCCAGGAGGAAAAAAGGGAGTAGTGGTTCTCAGAAGTAATTTCAACTTTGAAATTTCTAAGTAAAAAATAAAGATTGGTTATCTAACAATTACATCTTTAAGATGATTATCGTGCTTTTAAAAAAATCATGCAACTCTAGAAAAACAATGTTTTCATTTAAGTAAAAGCTATATAAAAGCCTATTATAATGACAGAGCCATCAATACTCTAGCAGAATCTAATTTATTTTAGGAAGAACACTTTAAATAAAGCCATTAGGCACTCAGAATAAACAAATACTCTTGAATAAATTGTTTCAATTATTAAGTTAAACTTTAAAAGTGTGGACAACATTAATTTTTCTTTTAATTATGTTTTACTATTTTCATCTTAAAATAAAATCCTCAAATTATTTCTTCTGCGTGGATGTGAAAAAACTGAAGCTCTCTGTATTTACCATGCACCTGCATGCTGGAGAACAGCCATGGGAGGAACTGTGTGTCTATAAATTCATATTACAAGAGTCTAAGTTATTGAGGTTCACCATTATTAAATTCTTGTATCAGTAGAAAAGTAAATGTAATACACAAGTGCCTTTTTAGACTGATTAATGATCCATATTTCTTTTCCTTTTATTATATTCTCAATCTCCATATTCAATATCCAACTTAGTTATTTTCCAGGGCTTAAAAATTAAAGACTTTTCATGTTTAGTCAAATTAGCTATTCATTTTTGTTATTTTAAGTCTGTCATAGTAATATGGTAATATATGCTAAATTTTAAATTCATAATCTTAACTGGTTAAGCAACATAAAAACCTTTCAGTATGTTTTATTATAATGCTAAATACAGAATATCATAAAAATTTCAAAATAACCTACATAGCAACACTAAAGGGAATAAAATCTTGAGTTTGAGGCTTCAAAGGTTGCCCTGCAGAATTGAAATCTAGTGGGATCTGAGATCTGATAACTTATTCCTCCCCTCCACTTCCTTTTTAGATAAGTATATAAAAGCCAGCTCTTCCTTCTTGGGGGCAGAAAAAAAGGCCATATTTAATGGAAAAATAATGAATTGCTTTAAACCAGCAAACATTTCTCTGTCAAATCTTACACAAATTATAAAGTGCAGTATTTTCTCTATGTTGATGGAAGAAAGCTTCTGATGGTTAAACTGGTAGCAGAACACGCATCATGCTGAAAACTGGAACATAAAGCCACATTACCCCATGTGTTACTGAAGTCTGGGGGACAAAAAGGTGGTATGTTCACTGGTCAAGACTTCACAGCTGAGAAACATTTACCAACGACTAAATTAGTATGCACAGTTATAGATGCTACCAATATGCTAGCATAAAAACAAAGGCTCAGTATGCAATATTCAATGCATATATTTTACTTACATAGAATCTGTATACTGAAGGTGTTCCCCACAATATTTGTTATACTATTCCCAGTCAAAATAATCTGTTATGCTAAGCTGCTCATCTAACTCAATATTTATATTATTAAATATCTGAAAAAAAATTATTTTTGACCCACCATTCCTAGTTCTACCCTTTTGATCAACTAAGACAAGTGGTATTTCCTCTTATGCATGTTTGTTAGCTCCAATTATTAAAAATTAACTATAACATATAATAACAATGTATGGTACCAGGTGGGTACTGGAAATCTCAGGGGGAGGAGCAATTTGTGAAGTGTATGATTGTCTGACCACGATGCCGTCTGCCTGAAACTAATACAAAATATTGACTGTAAACCATAATTTTAAAAAGGTTAAAATAATTATATGGTAAAAAATTAAAAGTTAACTATCATATCCCCGTTGCCTCGCAACCTCCACTCCTCAGAGCGCTCTTCAACAGGATCAACAGGACCTGGTTCCATTAATGTTTTCTCAAGATTTCTCATAATGATCTCACTCTTCTGATTTTCTACTCTTAAGCAGAGTCAAATAATTGAAATTTGCTCCAAATGTTAAATTGCTCTTACTTTATTGTGACCTGGACATCCATCCTCTACTTTGTTGCACTGTCATAATTCACCTATGATAACAGGAGTCCACACTTACCACTAGGAAGGCAAAAATTTTAAAGTGCAAGGCAATCTGTAGGATAGTATAAACATTTGCATCTTTGCTTATATACACAATGAATTCTGAAGTACAAATGTAATAGAATTTATACTTTAAAAACCAGACAGATTGGCAGATTTTATCCCCCAAACATTAAGTACTGAAGAAACAGCCAGACCTGAGAACCTTGTTGTCATCACTTTTTTATTACTCTGACAGTACAAAAATGCAGTGAGATTCTGCTAGCTCCCCCTTTTAGCATGATAAGTTATTTTACATAATCTGGAGAATGAAAACATGAGATCATGTAGTAGAAGCTGATATCCAGACAATAATATTCTGGCATTTTAACTTCCTTCCTGCTCTTATGTACATAAAAATTACAAAATACCAGAATCATTTCTAAAAATAACAGTCTTTTGTAGAGGGACTCTCTAAATGAAAGCATTTAGGGAAGCCGTTAAAATTTTAGCTGTGATTAACAAATGAAGGGAAGTTGTCATTTAGACAACACACCTATCATCAGCTGAAATTTTAAGAGAAAGAAATGCTGTCCATGCTTATCAGCACAGAACATCTATTCAAACACTGAGTGCTCAGGTATAGTACTTAAGGAAAACCACCTCCTGAAGTCCCATAAAGGCCAAGGAAGGAGTCCTCTCTCTGGTTCCCTGGAGCAAACTAGAAACCTCTTCAGGACCCAATTGTCTCATATTTAAAGCAGAGGGAAATAATTTCTACACCACTGGTATATTATGAGGAATAAACAAAGCCACATGGTGCACGGAAGGCAATCAAACGTGGTTCCTTTTCTGCCCTCTCCTCAGCCGTCACTGTAATATTCAACCAGGCCAAGGATCAGAGCAGGCTTATAAAACTCAATCTCAGGACTGAAACTGCAGATATTAACTCTTTTTATAGGGTTTCCCAAAACTACTTGTAAGAAGTCCTAAAAAGTTTCTAGGATTAGTTCTAGGAGTTGCAGAGGTAACTACAATTGTTTGAAAGTGGCTCTACTTTGTAATTCTATAGAAAAGTATTCTAAATACATAAGATACTGGTTGAATCTAACACTAGGCTTAATTTGATAGAAATATATTCCCATTGACAAAATCCCTCTTTAAACCGAGACAATTAGAGCCCCATATATTTTACTATAGCCCCATATATTTTATACTAGAACTCTATTACATTACCTTCCCATTGTTTTATAATCCATGCCATTGGAGTGTATTATTGAAGCTGAGAATGGTATGTATGGTTTAAAAAAATCTCTTTGGATGATATCCAAGATGATATTATAACAAATCTGAGTTAAAAGAAGATTATAGGAAAATGAATTTCCTTTCAAGCATTTAAATATTTTAGAATCATTATTATCTAGAGAAGTTTTTTATTCCTCAAATGGTTTCTTATCAAACAACATGGATAATCCTCAGCCTATCATGCTAAGTGAAATAAGTCAGACAGAAGAATTAAGAACTATGTGATTTCACTCATATGTGGAATATAAAATTGAACGCAAAAAAAATGAAAAATAAGAAAAACAAACAAAAACTCACAGACACAGGCCCTGACCAGGTAGCTCAGTTGGTTACAGCATCTTCCCAACACACTGAAGCAGCAGGTATGACCCAAGTCAGGGTACATACACTAAGCAACCAATGAATGCATAAAAAAGTGGAACAACAAACTGATGTTTCTCTCTCTCTCAAATCAATACATGAAAATTAAAAACAAAACTTCATAGACAGAGACAATAGTATGATTGTTACTAGAGGAAAGAGGGGTGGGAGGGTAGTAAAGGATAAAGGGGGTGAAATATGTGGTGACAAAAAAAGATTTGACTTTGCAGGATGGCACACAGTGCAACAATATACAGATGATGTATCATAGACTTGTACACTTGAAACCTATATAATTTCATTCATCAATGTCACCCCGGCAAATTTAATTAAAAAGAAAATGTATTTGCACAGAAGTACATCAGTGAAAATCTAGTTCTTTCTGAAATATGAATAAATTATCTTAACATAAATAAAAATGTCATAGACTGTCTACAATGCCTACTGTGACTTCATTCTTTTAAGAAACTACTTAAAATCATAGCTTGCAATCATCAAGTTGGTTTTTGAATATTTTAACAATTAAAATGTCATAGACTTCAAAAAAAGTAAGAAGGAAATAGGAGGAATTCAAAGGTAAACTATACTATGGTCCGTAGGCAAAGGGAAAGGTTAAGAGAAAAAGCGTTAGTGCATTGGTGATTGGTGATACCCTACTACTTTATTCAAGAGCATACACATTTCTTGATACAAACTATAAGATTATTATATGTATAATTTTTATATTTAGATTGCCACGTGTATCTTTTCAGGATACATAAATATACTACTAGAAAACGCAAACATTAACTTACTAAGATCAAAGAAATGCTGCCAGAAGGCTTCCCTCCATTTCTGAAGATCTTCTCTACTGTCAGCTACAAAAATATGAGTTACTGCCTCTCCAGCAATGGGACTGACGACAGAGAAGCTATGGGTTTTCTTGGCATTCTTATCCATTGCTCGAATTCTGGTCTCCTAAAAATTAAAACAAAATTGGTGTGTTCTAGGAGAATTATTTCTGTAATGATCAAATAAATGTTTTATTGCTTAACGACTATATTTACACCAGGTGCAATTATAATCTTATTGCTGATCACTTGGAATTTAAAATATGTAATCTTGAGAATGTTCAATATTCAAACTCAAATCTAGAGGGTTTTTAAAAATACTTTATATTAAAAATACTGATTAATATTTCAAAGTATGCAACAGATAGCACTTATGTTAAATTACATGAGATGAAAATGTAACCTGTTTTGATCTCTCAGCCTATGCAGGAGTTTGCTGTCTTTTATATACACCTTTAAATTTGCAATGAAACAAGTATAGCATGTCGTAAATGTAATGAGAATTATGTTAACTAGATTTCCCACAGTAATAAAATAGAAGAATTAGTAAAGTATGTTTCTTATTCTAATATTCATGCATAATATACAGTATTATCAATTAAAGCAGTAAAATCATAACAGTGTTTACTGTAGGAAAACAGGTTTTCCTCATTAACATTTATTTCATATGTAATAAGCATTTACTAAGCTCATAGCAAAAGATCCATAAAATAATACTGTATAATCCTCATAATGGTAAATATTATTTTTTCAAATATTGAACGCCAGACTCTAGACCAAAGGCAATGGTTTCATTCACGTGGACAGTCCGGACCGTTTCCTGAGTGGTACTGAGTGTGACATTGTGGTGATGCTCACTGTGTCGACATGTAGAAAAGTCGACTCCTAGGTCACACGCAGGCACTGTGATTGTCACAGCACAAGCTAGCTAGGACTTGAAGTTTCCGAGGAAGCTTGGGGAGAAAAGTCTGGAAGAGAACTATCTATTATGCAAAGATAGGGATTGGCTGCCAGGATAATGATTGATATTACATTATTCGGGAGCAGTGATGCCATTAAAAATATAATGTAAGCCACATATGTAATTTAAGATTTTCTAGTAATCCCATCTAATAAGGGAAAATGAAACTGGTACAAATAATTATGTATAATAATTATTATATTATTTTAAAATAATGTACTTTATGTATCCCAACATATCCAGAATTGTAACATATAATGGATACAAGGTTTTTGAAATATTTTACATTTTTTCATCCTGAGTCTCCAAAATCTAGTCCAACTTATAGAACATCTCTATTTGAGCGAGCCCCGTTTGATGAGCCTAGCAGCCACCACTGGCTAGTGGCTGCCATGCTGGGTAGAGCAGTTCTAGAGGAGTCTGGTCAGGACCACAGGAGGGTGCAGAAGAGTATCTGGCTGGCAGTTACACAAGCTGGTGAAGAATGGGAAGAAACTCTTCACTGTGCTGCGTGTAGGGTGAAGAGAGACTGCACACTTCCACAGTAAAACCAACATGCTCATATAGTCGCGTCTATGTGGACATCGCCAAAATAACAAAGAGTTAGCAGAAAAAATATATCCATTCCCTGAAAAGTGGGTACATATATGCAGGTGAACCATATGTACTACACAAGAAGTTCTTTTCTGAAGGAATTCTTATTGAAAAATCACATGAGGAAAATGCATGCTGTATAAAATAGCAATATAACTTTGAACATGTGGAGTATCACAGAATATAAGGATTGGTAACTCTCTTAGAGATGATCTGTCATTTTAAAAATGTAGGAATGTGAGTTGAGAATGACAACTCTAAGGAAGAATCTTCGATATGCTTCTCTAGCAGATTAACCGAAGGCAGACTCAGTGAAGGGTAAGGAGAGAATTCTTTCTTGCTGTTAGTATTTAAAAAAACTCCAAACAATAAAATATGAAGTATTCTTGTTGCTTCCCTCCACCCAAATCCATTTTAACACATTTATAAATGATTATAATAATTTATGTCCCTCTCAAAGAATATAGTGCAACAATAAATACATAAACACCATACATACTCCATTAACTCTGATAACCATAAACACCACTAAATTTTTTTTAAAACATGAGGGGTGTTTAAAGGGTGCAAATGAAACACACAATAGATCATTTGAATTAGCTTCTCTATTTTATCACCCAAAATAATTTAATTCATGGGAAAATTTTTAACACAAAGGTTGAATATCAAAGAAATGATTAAACAAAGTCTCTGGTAATGTCAGAAAGCTCATGCAAGCTGTTTTCAGGGTGGGCAAAGTATGACAGTATTCAGGACTTCACTTTCCAAACAAGGAATAGATTAGAAAACAGGTGAATTTTTGGACTGTTATTCGGGCTCACACCATGCACAGATGATTCAAGTATCCTCTTAGCGTAGTACACAAGGAAAGAAATTGAGTATTTTTACCTCCACTATTTCTACCACCTAAACTATTGCTTTATACAATCTAAGCGACTGAAAAATATTTAATAATAAAAGAATGAGAAAGAGAAAGGACTCAGATAATGATAAAAAGGTTTACATTGATAGACTCAGATCCCAGAGATAATCTCTAGTTCAATTCTTTAATTTATAGATGAGGAAACGTAGGTTCTAAGATAAGTGGATAGAAATCCAAGGTCCAAGTTTCCAGTCTTGCTTTTGATAATCCCAAAACTTTTAGATATTTGGGAGACGTTACAGTCACCTGTTACTAATTTGTGGGTACAACTGAGATTATTCACTGTGAAATTTTAATTCTTGCTGACTCGACTTTTTCGACCAGCACACATTGAACTGCAATGTTCCACAGCCAACTCAAGTCATCAAAAATACAACGTGAGAAACCAATTTTGTAACAGAATGTAATTAACTCTTACATTGAAGGAAAATTTCTTTTAGGTTGTTCATTAGTTTGAATTAAAAATGTATTTTAATTTCTCTATTTCTGTGGTAATGAAAAATTACTAGATCAAGACAGATTTATGAATTGTGTCTCATCTTACTTTTGACTATAGGATTTTAAAGAAATTTACTATGTACACAGATTATGGTCTCAAAATACTTTCCTACTAAAAAGAACCAGAGCTCTTTAGAGAAATGGCTGATTCCTAGCCTGGGTCAGGAAATGTATGAGATGATTCTGGGATATCTTGTGCTAAAAAATCACAGATTACTAGGGTTTTATCAAAATGAATTTTATCAACTTGAAGAGGCTTCCAGGAGCCAAAGATAGGGCAATCTGAATATCAATAACAATGGAAATGAACTGATGCTTGAAATGTCTTTAAATCCATAAATTCATAATGATATTTAAAAACGAACTCATTGATCACCTCTTAAGGATGCTAGGGAACTACTTCATTGTTTTGGTAAGTAGGATATAAATGCAAAAAACTCAAGTCATTATCTTGCCTTTACTATAAAAATGGTACCTCAATCACGTAGCTGATAAATGAAGAAATTTAGATATCACAAGTTGCAATTACTAATGAAATAAAAGATCTAAGCAATGTTCAGCAGTGGAAGGGCCCATACCATATGCCTCCTGATAAACGTTAAGTAGTATTTCCTAAGACATAGTCTTATTAACCAGCCTAAATCTGATGCAGAAAGGAAAAAAGACAGACGAAGACATAATTATGCAAAATTCTGTGGATCAATGACCCAATTTCTTCACAAATAAATTGGGTGTGATTGTGTGTGTGTGTGTAAGAGAGAGAGAGACAGAGAGAGGGAATGAAAGCTAATAAAGAAACCTGATCAATCCACTATCACTATAATGTGTGGTCCATATTTGGATCTTGATTTAAAAACCACTAAAAATATAATATTAGGAAATTTGAACACTGTCTGAATTTTTTAAATTTTTGTTTACTGATTTTAGAGAAAGGGGGAGGGAGGAGAAAGTAGAGGGAAAGAGGGAGGAAGAGATGGAAGGAAGGAGGAAGAGAGAGGGAGAGAAACATTTATTTTTTGTTCCACTTACTTATGCATTCATTGGTTGATTCTTGTACATGTCCTGATCAGGATCAAACCCGCAACCTTGGCACATTGGGATGAATGCTCTAACCAACTGAGTACCCGGCCAGGGATTTCTTACCATATGTATAAATTATCAGAAGTATCGCCATTGTAATACTTACAAATAAAATGATAAAGTTTTCCTTAGGATTTCCTTCTAAATAATTCTATGGTGGTGGTAATGTGTGAAGGTACAAGAGTTATATTATCTTCTTTATAGATTATCTTGAAATTTAACAACTAACAATTCAAAAATCACATACAAGTACTAAAAATGAAGTGCCACTTCCTTATCTATAATGCAGAGATAATATTCTTTTACTCCTATCTTCCTCACAAACATATTCTAAAGATAAATTAGTTCAGGGGATGGTGATTGTTCTCAAGTCTTTGTTGACTGGAGAGGAAGGAAAAATGTTGCTAGCTAAAACAAGTGTTAGACCTTGTATATACTCTAATAGCAAACAAAGTATATTCGACAACATGTGATGAGGAATGTTTGAAATATATAAAGTATAACCATAAATTAAGCCAAGCATTAGGTATAATTAGTATTAGTGGGATATAATTATTTCCAATTTATGCCAATGAAATCAGACATCAACTCCTACTAAAAAAAAGACTGTTTAAAAAATCATTTTTTGTTGTATTTAATAAAGGTCAACATGCATGGTTGGCAGAGTTCGGACATTAAGAGGGCTAACATAATCAGAAGAAAACCCCATGTACTTCTTAATAATTTTGCTTGCTAGGATTCCTGATAAAAGTAATGGTGAAAAGCAATTTCAAGACAATTTAACAAAGGTCTATCACCCCAACAAGTGTTATTGACTTGTTTAGTGCAAACTTTATTAGTCATTAAAATGAAGTGATGCATAATATTTAAATCAAGAAAAGACTATTGATCTCAAAGACCCAAACTTCTTTTCCATTCTGCTCCCCACCCCACTGGCAATGGATAAAACTTGGGCTAACAAAATGCTTTCTGCAATGTGTGGGAGATTCAGGGGCTCCAGTTAAGTGCCCCTGTTGAGAATGTCTTACTCAACAACATTCCCAGGGAAGTTTTTTGAAGTTGCAGCAATCAC